CTCAGCACTGCACCATAGACTCAACACTGCACCATAGACTCAGCACTGCACCATAGACTCAGCACTGCACCATAGACTCAACACTGCACCATAGACTCAACACTGCCCATAGACTCAGCACTGCACCATAGACTCAACACTGCACCATAGACTCAACACTGCACCATAGACTCAGCACTGACACCATAGACTCAACACTGCCCATAGACTCAACACTGCACCATAGACTCAACACTGCACCATAGACTCAACACTGCCCATAGACTCAGCACTGCACCATAGACTCAGCACTACACCATAGACTCAACACTGCACCATAGACTCAGCACTGCACCATAGACTCAGCACTACACCATAGACTCAGCACTGTACCATAGACTCAGAACTGCACAATAGACTCAGCACTGTACCATAGACTCAGCACTGCCCATAGACTGAGAACTGCACCATAGACTCAGCACTGCACCATAGACTCAGCACTGCACCATAGACTCAGAACTGTACCATAGACTCAACACTACACCATAGACTCAGCACTGCACCATAGAATAAGCACTGCACCATAGACTCAGCACTACACCATAGACTCAACACTGCACCATAGACTCAGCACTGCACCATAGACTCAGCACTGCAGCATAGACTCAACACTGAGACCCATAGACTCGGCACTCCATCATAGACTCAACCCTGCACCATAGACTCAGCACTGCACCATAGACTCAGCACTGCACCATAGACTCAGCACTGCACCATAGACTCAGCACTGCACCATAGACTCAGCACTGCACCATAGACTCAGCACTGCACCATAGACTCAACACTACCCATAGACTCAGCACTGCACCATAGACTCAACACTGCACCATAGACTCAGCACTGCACCATAGACTCAACACTGCACCATAGACTCAACAGTACCCATAGACTCAGCACTGCACCATAGACTCAGCACTGCACCATAGACTCAACAATGCACCATAGACTCAGCACTGCACCATAGACTCAACACTGCCCATAGACTCAACACTGCCCATAGACTCAGCACTGCACCATAGACTCAACACTGCCAATAGACTCAACACTGCACCATAGACTCAGACCTGCACCATAGACTCAACACTGCACCATAGACTCAACACTGCACCACAGACTCAGCACTACACCATAGACTCAACACTGCCCATAGACTCAACACTGCACCATAGACTCAACACTGCCCATAGACTCACCACTTCACCATAGACTCAACACTGCACCATAGACTCAGCACTGTACCATAGACTCAGCACTGTACCATAGACTCAGCACTGCACCATAGACTCAACACTGCACCATAGACTCAGCACTGCACCATAGACTCAGCACTGCACCATAGACTCAACACTGCACCATAGACTCAGCACTGCACCATAGACTCAGCACTGCACCATAGACTCAGCACTGCACCATAGACTCAACACTGCACCATAGACTCAACACTGCACCATAGACTCAGCAGTGCACCATAGACTCAACACTGCACCATAGACTCAGCACTGCACCATAGACTCAGCACTGTACCATAGACTCAGCACTGCACAATAGACTCAGCACTGCACCATAGACTCAACACTGCACCATAGACTCAACACTGCACCATAGACTCAGCACTGCACCATAGACTCAGCACTGCACCATAGACTCAACACTGCACCATAGACTCAGCACTGCACCATAGACTCAGCACTGCACCGTAGACTCATCACTGCACCATAGACTCAACACTGCACCATAGACTCAACACTGCACCATAGACTCAACACTGCACCATAGATTCAACACTGCAACATAGACTCAGCACTGCACCATAGACTCAGCACTGCCCATAGACTCAACACTGCACCATAGACTCAGCACTGCACCATAGACTCACCACTGCACCATAGACTCAACACTGCACCATAGACTCAGCACTGCACCATAGACTCAACACTGCACCATAGACTCAGCACTGCACTATAGACTCAACACTGCACCATAGACTCAGCACTGCACCATAGACTCAGCACTGCACCATAGACTCAACACTGCACCATAGACTCAGCACTGCACCATAGACTCAACACTGCACCATAGACTCAACACTGCACCATAGACTCGACACTGTACCATAGACTCAACACTACACCATAGACTCAGCACTGCACCCTAGACTCATCACTGCACCATAGACTCAGCACTGCCCCATAGACTCAGCACTGCCCCATAGACTCAGCACTGCACCATAGACTCAGCACTGCACCATAGACTCAACACTGCACCATAGACTCAACACTGCACCATAGACTCAGCACTGCACCATAGACTCAGCACTGCCCATAGACTCAACACTGTCCATAGACTCAACACTCCCCATAGACTCAACACTGCCCATAGACTCAACACTGCACCATAGACTCTGCACTGCCCATAGACTCATCACTCCCCATAGACTCAACACTGCCCATAGACTCAACACTACACCATAGACTCAACACTGCACCATAGACTCAACACTCCCCATAGACTCAACACTGCCCATAGACTCAACACTGCACCATAGACTCTGCACTGCCCATAGACTCAACACTCCCCATAGACTCAACACTGCCCATAGACTCAACACTACACCATAGACTCAACACTGCACCATAGACTCAGCACTGCACCATAGACTCAGCACTGCCCATAGACTCAAACTGCCCATAGACCCAACACTGCCCATAGACTCAACACTCCCCATAGACTCAACACTGCACCATAGACTCAGCACTGCCCATAGACTCAACACTCCCCATAGGCTCAACACTGCCCATAGACTCAGCACTGTACCATAGACTCAGCACTGCCCATAGACTCAACACTGCACCATAGACTCAACACTGCACCATAGACTCAACACTGCACCATAGACTCAACACTGCCCCATAGACTCAACACTGCACCATAGACTCATCACTGCACCATAGACTCAACACTGCCCATAGACTCAACACTGCACCATAGACTCAACACTGCCCATAGACTCAACAATGTACCATAGACTCAGCACTGCACCATAGACTCAACACTGTACCATAGACTCAACACTGTACCATAGACTCAGCACTGCACCATAGAATCAGCACTGCACCATAGACTCAACACTGCACCATAGACTCAGCACTGCACCATAGACTCAACACTGCACCATAGACTCAGCACTGTACCATAGACTCAGCACTGCACCATAGACTCAGCACTGCACCATAGACTCAGCACTGCACCATAGACTCAGCACTGCACCATAGACTCAACACTGCACCATAGACTCAACACTGCACCATAGACTCAACACTGCACCATAGACTCAACACTGCACCATAGACTCAGCACTGCACCATAGACTCAACACTGCCCATAGACTCAGCACTGCACCATAGACTCAGCACTGCACCATAGACTCAGCACTGCACCATAGACTCAGCACTGCACCATAGACTCAGCACTGCACCATAGACTCAGCACTGCACCATAGACTCAACACTGCACCATAGACTCAGTACTGCACCATAGACTCAGCACTGCACCATAGACTCAACACTGCACCATAGACTCAGCACTGCACCATATACTCAACACTGCACCATAGACTCAACACTGCACCATAGACTCAACACTGCACCATAGACTCAGCACTTGCCCCTACAGCCCTGTTAGTGGCTACCTGGGGTAGCTTTGTCTTTAATGATGGTGGTGATGATGGTGATGATGGCGATGATGGTTTTGATGGTGGTTATGGTGATGGTGGTGATGATGGTGATGATCGTGGTGATGGTGATGATGGTGGTGATGGTGGTGATGATGGTGATGATGGTAATAATGGAGGTGATGATGATGGTGGTGATGGTGGTGGTGATGGTGGTGATGATGGTGATGATGGTGGTGATGCTGATAATGGTGATGATGATGGTGGTTATGTTGGTGATGGTGGTGACGGTGGTGGTGATGGTGGTGATGCTTGTGACGGTGATGATGATGATGGTGATTATGATGGTGATGATGGTGATGATGGTGGTGATGGTGGTGTTGGTGATGATGGTGATGATGGTGGTGATGGTGGTGATGCTGATAATGGTGGTGGTGATGGTGGTCATGGTGGTGATGGTGGTGACGGTGGTGGTGATGGTGGTGATGCTGGTGACGGTGATGATGATGATGGTGATTATGATGGTGATGATGGTGATGGTGGTGGTGACAGTGGTGGTGATGGTGGTGATGGTGGTGACGGTGATGATGATGATGATGGTGATAATGATGGTGGTCATGGTGGTGATGGTGGTGACGGTGGTGGTGATGGTGGTGATGGTGGTGGTGACGGTGATGATGATGATGGTGATAATGATGGTGATGATGATGGTGATGATGGTGATGATGATGGTGATGATTGTGATGATGATGATGGTGATAATGATGGTGATGATGATGGTGATGATTGTGATGATGATGATGATGGTGATAATGATGGTGATGATGATGGTGATGATGATGGTGATGATGGTGATGTGTCCACCACACACAAAGTCGTTATACTCAACTTTATTTATTGTTCCACCACCATCACTCCCACCACCATCACCACCATCACCACCATCATTACCACCATCACCACCATCATTACCACCACTATCATCATCTGTGTGTGTGTCTGTGTGTGTGTCTGTGTGTGTGTCTGTGTGTATGTGTGTCTGTGTGTGTGTCTGTGTATGTGTGTCAGTGTGTGTGTGTCTGGGTGTGTCTGTGTGTGTGTGTCTGTGTGTGTTTGTGTGTGTGTCTGTGTGTATGTGTGTCTGTGTGTGTGTCTGTGTGTGTGTCTGTGTGTGTCTGTGTATGTGTGTGATTCTGTGTGTGTGTGTGTGTCTGTGTGTCTGTGTGTGTCTGAGTGTGTGTGTGTGTCCGTGTGTTAGTGTGTGTGTCTGTGTGTCTCTATGTGTGTCTGTGTGTGTGTGTCTGTGTGTGTGTGTCTGTGTCTCTGTGTGTGTGTGTCTGTGTGTGTGTCTGTGTGTGTCTCAGGCATGAAGCAAGGGTAGCAGTAGAGCGAGCATGGCCGTCAGTCCTCCCAACCTCCCGGCCACCGTCACAGCCCCGTTCCTGCACCTGGACACTGCACAAAGACAAAGATCACCCGTGTAGCCTCACTCACTCACCCACTCACTCACTCACCCACTCACTCACCCACTCACTCACCCACTCACTCACTCACCCACTCACTCACCCACTTACTCACTCACTCAACCACTCACTCACCCACTCACTCACTCACCCACTCACTCACTCACCCACTCACTCACTCATCCACTCACTCACTCACCCACTCACTCACCCACTCACTCACCCACTCACTCACCCACTTACTCACTCACTCAACCACTCACTCACCCACTCACTCACTCACCCACTCACTCACTCACCCACTCACTCACTCATCCACTCACTCACTCACTCACCCACTCACTCACCCACTCACTCACCCACTCACTCACCCACTCACTCACTCACTCACCCACTCACTCACTCACCCACTCATTCACTCACTCACCCCCTCACTCACTCATTCACTCACTCACTCACCCAGTCACTCACTCACCCACTTACTCACTCACTCACCCACTCACTCACCCACTCACTCACTCACTCACCCACTCACTCACTCACTCACCCACTCACTCACTCACCCACTCATTCACTCACTCACCCACTCACTCACTCACCCACTCATTCACTCACTCACCCCCTCACTCACTCACTCACCCAGTCACTCACTCACCCACTCACTCACTCACTCACCCACTCACTCACCCACTCACTCACCCACTTACTCACTCACTCACCCACTCACTCACCCACTCACTCACTCACTCACCCACTCACTCACTCATTCACCCACTCACTCACTCACTCACCCACTCACTCACTCACTCACCCACTCACTCACTCACCCACTCACTCACCCACTCACTCACCCACTCACTCACTCACTCACCCACTCACTCACTCCCCCACTCACTCACTCACTCACCCACTCACTCACCCATTCACTCACCCACAAACTCACTCACTCACCCACGCAAAGACTCACTCACACCCACTCAGTCACTCAAACACCCACTCACTCACTCACTAACCCACTCACTCACCCACTCACTCACACACCCAATCACTTACTCACCCACTCAAAGACTCACACAATCACTAACTCACTCACCCACTCACTCACTCACCCACTCACTCACCACTCACTCACTCACTCACCCACTCACTCACCACTCACTCACTCACTCACCCACCCACTCACTCACCCACTCAGTCACTCACACACGTACAAACTCACTCAACAACAACAACAACCTACAACCGCCATTCACCACTAAGTGGCGGTGACGTCACCACGACGCTTGTGCCAGGCTATGTGCACCCTGAGGCCACGTGAAGTGTCGAACGCCCGCTGGCAGGAGGTCACGGGGCAGACCCAGGTGCCACGGGTCGACTGACTAAGATGACTGAGATGACTGGCTGATGCACCACCTGTGCCCCCTACTGTGCCAATCCGCTGTGCTTTAGCCACCCGGCGCTCCGCTCGTTGTTGTGAGCGTCGCTCCTCCGCCCTCCGTTGTTGTTGGAGGGCGACTGCCTCCAACTGCCCAGTAGCGTCCTTCACGAGCCTCCTCCACAGAGGCCGATCTTGACACCGCTGGTACCAGTCATCGGCAAGTCCACTCAGCTCCACGTCCTCCTGTACCACATCACTCCATCTCTTCTCTAGCCCGTGCCGCGCCCGTTTAGCCCCCTCAATCCGGCCGAACAAAAGCTGTTTCGGCATGCGGTGGCTGGGCATGCGGGCTACATGACCCATATGTAGGGGTGCTATGGGGGAATAAACAACATGGCACGGGAAGGTGTGGTTCACCCACACCTTGGTGGCTACAACAACGTCCGCTAAGGCTCCAGTGGGTATAAAGTGCGGCGGGGAGCCAGGGAGCTCGGGGCAGAGTGTGGGGCCCGAGGCTGAAGCAACCGGTGAAGAAAGAAGGGCAGCTAGGCGAGACCCTGGGACTCCTGTGACCGCTGCCCCTTTCAGGACCGGCACAGCAAGCCAGTGGTGCGGTCCCAGAGCCCCAGAGTCGGAGTCCTTCTAAGGGCCGGTCTGGTCGGCGGGGTGCCCAGATCTGTGCCTAACCAGGGCCGGATGATCTGATAGCCTCCCTTAGAGCCCTAGCAGGAGGAGGAACTGAGAGCCTAGAGCTTAGGCTAGAGAGCCTGGGGTGGTGTGTTCCTGAGTTATACGGGTGGAGGGGCCGCTACCCCTTCTAGTGTAACCCTTGTTAAGGTTTAAATAAATAGTGCTGCTTCTATTCTGCCGTCTCCGTGTCCTGGAACCCACTACACATACATAGACACACACATAGACACATAGACACACACACACACGTAGACATAAAGACATAGACACGTACCTCTGCTGTCTCTCTGCACTCCGTTCTCCGCTTTGCTGATGTTGAGCAAAGCGGCGTTGACAATCACCAACTCGGCCGTTCCTGGGGAACATCAACATCATCAACTCACCCACCCACTCACCCACCCACCCACCCACTCAACCACCCACCCACTCACCCACCCACCCATCCACCCACCCACCCACTCACCCACCCACTCACCCATCCACCCACCCATCCACCCACCCACTCAACCACCCACCCACTCACCCATCCACCCATCCACCCACCCACCCACTCACCCACCCACTCACCCATCCACCCACCCACCCACCCACTCACTCACCCACCCACCCATCCACCCACCCACTCACTCACCCATTCACCCACCCACTCACTCACTCACCCACCCACCCACCCACTCACCCATCCACCCATTCACTCAATCACCCATTCACTCAATCACCCACCCAGTCACCCACTCACTCACCCACTCACTCACTCACCCACTCACTCACCCACTCACGCACCGATTCACTCACCCACCCACTCACCCACTCACTCACTCACTCACCCACCCACCCACCCACTCACTCACCCATCCACCCACCCACCCACCCACTCACCCACCCAACCACTCACTCACCCACCGACTCACCCACCCATTCACCCACTCACTCACCCACCCACCCACCCACTCACTCACCCACCCACTCACTCACCCATCCACCCAATCACTCACCCACCGACTCACTCACCCACCAACCCACCCACTCAATCGCTCACCCACTCACTCACTCACTCACCCACCTCCTCACTCACCCACCCACCCAACCACTTACTCAACCACTCACTCACTCACCCACCCAACCACCCACCCACTCATCCACTCACTCACTCACTCACCCACACACCCACTCACCCACCAACTCACCCACTCACCCACCCACTCACCCACCCACCCACCCATTCACTCACTCAGCCACTCACCCACCCACTCACCCAACCAATCACCCACCCACTCACTGACCCAATCACTCACCAATCCACCAACTCACCACCCACCCACTCACGCACCCACCCACCCACTCACCCACCCACTCATCCACTAACTCACTCACCCACCCACCCACTCACTCACCAACCCACCCACCCATTCACCCAGGGACCCACCGACTCACCCACCCACTCACCCACCCACTCACCCACCCACCCACTCTCTCACCCACCCACCCAATCACTCACTCAGCCACTCACTCACCCAGCCACTCACCCACTCACCCACCCACTCACTCACTCATCCACTCACTCACTCACCCACCCACTCACCCACTAACCCACCCACCCACTAACTCACTCACCCACCCACTCACCCATTCACTCAGCAACCCACCCACCCACTCACCCACCCACCCACTCACCCATTCACTCACCCACCCACCCACCAACTCACACACCCACCCACGCACCCACTCACTCACTCACCCACCCACTAACCCACCCACCCACTCACCCACTCACTCACCCACCCACTGACCCACTCACTCACCCACCCACGCAATTACTCACCCACCCATCCACTCACCGATTTCACCGCCACCATCACCAACACCAACAACATCACCAATACGACCATCACGAACAGATCCATCGCCGCAGGAATCACCACAAGGCTCTGCAGATTTTGGTTCAGCGAATCTGAAAAATATTTGCGTGGCAATGAGATGTGTCGTGGGCCGGTCACTTACTCAGTCACTCAGTCAGTCATTCAGTCACTCACTCAGTCACTCACCCACTCAGTCACCCACTCACTCGGTCAGTCACTCAGTCAGTCATTCAGTCACTCACTCAGTCAGTCAGTCAATCAGTCACTTACTCACTCACACCCACTCACTCACCCACTCACCCATTCATTCACCCACTCACTCACCCACTCACCCACTCACCCCGTCACTCAGTCACTCACCCACTCAGTCACCCACTCACTCGGGCAGTCACTCAGTCAGTCGAACAATCACTCGTTCACCCACTCAGTCACTCACTCAGTCAGTCACTCAGTCACTCACTCGTTCACCCACTCAATCACTCAGTCCGTCAGTCACTCAGTCACCCACTCAGTCACTCACTCAGTCACTCACCCACTCAGTCATCCACTCACTCGGTCAGTCACTCAGTCAGTCGAACACTCACTCGTTCACCCACTCAGTCACTCACTCAGTCAGTCACTCAGTCACTCACTCAGTCACTCACTCGGTCACTCACTCGTTCAGTCAGTCAGTCAATCAGTCACTTACTCACTCACACCCACTCACTCACCCACTCACCCATTCATTCACCCCGTCACTCAGTCACTCACCCACTCAGTCACTCAGTCACTCACTCGTTTACCCACTCAATCACTCAGTCAGTCAGTCACTTAGTCACCCACTCAGTCACTCACTCTGTCACTCGGTCACTCACTCAATCACTCAGTCAGTCAGTCAGTCAATCAGTCACTCACTCACTCACACCCACTCACTCACCCACTCACCCCCTCACTCAGTTACTCACCCAATCACTCGGTCAGTCAATCAGTCACTCACTCGGTCACTCACTCGGTCACTCAGTCAGTCAGTCAATCAGTCACTTACTCACTCACACCCACTCACTCACCCACTCACCCATTCATTCACCCACTCACTCACCCACTCACCCACTCACCCCCTCACTCAGTTACTCACCCAATCACTAGGTCACTCACTCAGTCACTCACTCGGTCACTCACTCGGTCACTCAGTCAGTCAGTCAATCAGTCACTTACTCACTCACACCCACTCATTCACCCACTCACCCATTCATTCACCCACTCACTCACCCACTCACCCACTCACCCCCTCACTCAGTTACTCACCCAATCACTAGGTCACTCACTCAGTCACTCAATCAGTCACTCACCCAATCACTTACCCAATTACCTAACCTCTGACCCAGTGAGTGACTCACTGAGTGAGTGACTCAGTGAGTGAATGACTGAGTTAATGGGTGGGTGAGTGAGTGACTGAGTGGGCGACTGAGTGAGTGACTGAGTGAGAGATTGAGTGAGTGAGTGAGTCACTGAGTGAGTGAGTGAGTGACTGAGTGAGTGAGTGACTGAGTGAGTGAGTGACTGCGTGAGTGACTGAGTGAGTAAGTGAATGAGTGAGTGACCGAGTGAGTGACTGGGTGAGTGACTGAGTGAGTGACTGAGTAAGTGACTGAGTGAGTGACTAAGTGAGTGAGTGACTGGGTGAGTGACTGAGTGAGTGAGTGAGTGACTGAGTGAGTCACTGAGTGAGTAACTGAGTGACTGATTGATTGAGTGACTGAGTGAGTGCTGAGTGAGTGAGTGACTGAGTGAGTGACTGAGTGAGTCTTAACCTTTTTTGTACAAACCTCTGCTGTCTTAGCCACTGTGGCAGGCTTTTATACCGCGTGTTCGAGGGGGGACGCTTTGACGTCATTGGGGGGAGAGATCCTTTGGGGAAGATTTGTAGGGTCATGTTGTGTTTGTATAGTGTTACTTACACACTCACTCACCCACTCACTCGCTCACAATGGAAATTACTCAGCCACTCACTCAGCCACTCACTCAGCCACTCAGGCAAACACTCACTCAGACACTCACTGACTCTGACATTCACTCAGCCACTCACTCAGACACTCACTCACTCTGACACTCACTCACTCAGACACTCACTCAGACACTCACTCAGCCACTCGCTAAGCCACTCACTCAAACACTCACTAAGACACTCACTCACTCAGACACTCACTCTGACACTCACTCACTCAGACACTCACTCTGACACTCACTCAGCCACTCATGCAAACACTCACTCAGACACTCACTCATTCAGACACTCACTCAGCCACTCACTCACAATGGCAATTACTCAGCCACTTACTCAGCCACTCACTCAGACACTCACTCACTCACTCTGACACTCGCTCAGCCACCCAGCCACTCACTCAGCCATTCACTCACCCACTCACCCACTCGCTCACCCTCTTACCAAATCACTCACCCACTCACTCATCCACTCACTCACCCACTCACTCATCCACTCACTCACCCACTCACTCACTCATCCACTCACCCACTCACTCATCCACTCACTGATCCACCCACTCACTCACGCACTCAACAACAACCGCCATTCGCCAATAAGTGGCGGTGACATCACCACGACGCTTGTGCCAGGCTATGTGCACGTTGAGGCCACGTGAAGTGTCGAACGCCCGCTGGCAGGAGGTCACGGGGCAGACTCAGCAGGTGCCACGGGTCGACTGACTGAGATGAGTGGCTGATGCACCACCTGTGCCCCCTTCTGTTCCAACCTGCTGTGCTTTAGCCACCCGGCGCTCCGCTCGTTGTTGTGAGCGTCGCTCCTCCGCCCTCCGTTGTTGTTGGAAGGCGACTGCCTCCAACTGCCCAGTAGCATCCTTCACGAGCATCCTCCACAGAGGCCGATCTTGACACCGCTGGTACCAGTCATCGGCAAGTCCACTCAGCTCCACGTCCTCCTGTACCACATCACTCCATCTCTTCTCTAGCCCGTGCCAAGCCCGTTTAGCCCCCTCGATCCGGCCGAACAAAAGCTGTTTCGGCATGCGGTGGCTGGGCATGCGGGCTACATGACCCAGCCAACGGAGCCATGCCTGCCGGAGGAGCTCACCGATGGGACCCTGCCCAGATCTTTCAAGGATTTGTGAGCTCCTCACACAATCCAGTCTGGTTAAACCCAGGATGGATCGTAGGCAGGCCAGCCTAAATGTTTCTAACCGGCGAAGATGTTCCATTAGGGGGTTCCACGTTTCGCAAGCGTAGAGAAGGGAGGGAATGACCGTGGCCGAGAAGACCTGAAGCTTAGTGCGGAGCGACAGACCAGGTAGCTTCCACACAGCGTTACGCAACCGATGAAAAGATATTGCCGCTCGACTGATTCGGAGTGAGACCTCTGCTGTTAAACTGGAGCCGGTCATAAGCACACTGCCCAGGTATGGGAAACTCTCCACTCTCTCCACAACTGAAGAATGGGAATCGTGTTCAAGAGTGTAGACCTAGTAATAGGTTTTACTCCTTTTTAACTGGCACCATAAAAAAACCTATTCCTATATCTTGTTACTGGCAAAGGAGGTCTCATAATGTAAACGCTCACCCCGAGCCCTCAATACTCTGATGGTGCTCTGCTGTTTTTGAGTTGTGTGACGCCTTTTGGCGTCTTCTGGTCCAACACCAGTGGAGAGACTAAAGGGCTCTAAGAAAAGCCGTCTCTGGTGTGGACCAATCAAATTCAAGGACAGTGCCAATATTATTATCAGAGTTGTCCTTTTTTGTCTACATTTTGACTGCTTGTGTTGTGGTTATTGCAAACACGATGCCTTGAATAAAGGTGTCAGTTTTTGTGCCAGTTAAAAGGGTAAAACCTATTCCTATGTGATGATAATGATTGCTGCTTTGTGTTGTAGTAGAAACGTCGTGAGAATGTTATTGTTTTATATTTTTATTATTTTATTGTTTCCCTTCTACGTGGTGGTGACTTTACCCAAAGAACCAAGAATAATAATTTTATTGTTTTATATTTTTATTATTTTATTGTTTCCCTTCTAACGTGGTGGTGACTTTACCCAAAGAACCAAGAATAATCATTTTATTGTTTTATATTTTTATTATTTTATTGTTTCCCTTCTACGTGGTGGTGACTTTACCCAAAGAACCAAGAACATAAGATCCCTCCGTTTTATCGACAAACACGCAGTCGAATGGTTAATAAAAAAAATAAAAGCACCTCTCGTTTCTCGCACCCAAACTGTACTCACAGATGGTTGGAGGTCAAACCGTGTCAAGATGACAAAAAGGGGTCCCACAGGGTTCCATCCTCGGCCCCATTCTGTTCCATCTTCACGTCAATGACCTGGGCACTGACCCGGATCATTCCAGGATACATCTGTTTGCGGATGACTCGGATACTGATTACTGCTGGCCGATCTCATCTCCGGCCGACGTGATTGCTAAGCTGCGGGGTGATTTCAACAAATCCAAAATCCTCTTTCGTCCTGCCGGTTAAAGTCACCGCGCGGCAGGCATGCATTAAAATAAAATCACGACGTTTCACATGTTAACGTGAGAAATTAGCATGATGTTAATGTGATGTTAATGTGATGTTAATGTGATGTTAATGTGAGAGATTAGCATGATGTTAACGTGAGAGATTAGCATGATGTTAATGTGATGTTAATGTGATGTTAATGTGAGAGATTATCGTGATGTTAATGTGAGAGATTAGCATGATGTTAATGTGATGTTAATGTGATGTTAATGTGAGAGATTAGCATGGTGATAATGTGATGTTAATGTGATGTTAATGTGAGAGATTAGCATGGTGATAATGTGAGAGATTAGCAGATTATCATGATGTTAATGTGATAAATTATGGTGATGTTAATGTGAGAGATTAGCATGATGTTAATGTGATGTTAATGTGAGAGATTAGCATGGTGATAATGTGAGAGATTAGCATGATGTTAATGTGATGTTAATGTGATGTTAATGTGAGAGATTAGCATGGTGATAATGTGATGTTAATGTGATGTTAATGTGATGTTAATGTGAGAGATTAGCATGGTGATAATGTGAGAGATTAGCATGATGTTAATGTGATGTTAATGTGAGAGATTAGCATGGTGATAATGTGATGTT